TCTAGACAGTTTCCTGGGATAACAGAGGATACTGAGTCCCTAGAAATCCAACAGGCGCTCTACAGATTATAGGGCAACACGCATCACTGCAGCACACATGGAGACAGACCCATCACCTAACCCGATGACTGCCTCCTTAGTCATTTCACTCTGTGTGCAATTTCACTTTTTCCAAATGAGTGGAACAGAATCCTTTTTAGAAAATGGAGAAACAACTTCGGTAATTGAAAGCATTTTCTATTTTACTCTCAGTGGGTTCCAAAATCTGAGAAGGACTCTCAAGGGACTTCCAAAACTTCTCAAATAAGGTTAAATGACTATTAGAACCCACACTATTAGAAAGTGAGCTGAATCCTAGGATGTCAGAGCTGAGGGAGCCTGTCTGGTCTTGCAGACCAGAGGTGGCCGAGCTAGCACTCAATCCAGATCTCCCAGCCCACGCCCTTTTTTCTCGACCGGCCCTCCTGTATGCACTCTCCCTGCGAGCAGAACTTAGATTTAAAAAAAATACAGCTCCAGATACACAATAAGGGCATAAGAAGGAGGTGCTGACGGGAGTCGAACACTCCTCAGTTTTAATTCACGCCTTGGGCACTGCAGGAACCCAGTCTATTCCTTGGGGAGGACTTCTCGCTGACATCAGCACTGCCTGTGCCACAATCTAGCTATGAGTCACAAACTGCACAGGAAACATTTTAATGAGATTTCTCTGAGAGGGGGGAGTTCTTCAGGGTGAGGAACAGAAAGAGATGCAGACACTTTCAGAACTGAAATAAAGAGCTGAAATCAACAGATTCGATCTGAGTACTGACAATGTGTAATGTTCTGTGGGCAGTACGATACCATTTCAGACACAACCTCCTCCTTGTACATTTACAATCCAGTTACCCAGGAGAGGAGATGTACTTCTGGGGCATGTTTTAGAGTCTATTTTCTTTTTTCACTAATTTGGAAGAGCACTTTACACTAAGAGTTTAGTGCTTGTCTGTCATTACAAATTGCAGATATTTCTTTCCAGCTTTCATTTGTCTTTTAACTTGTTCTCCTCTTCTGAAGTATTTAATTTTCATGTGTGATCATATTTATCAACCATTTCTTTTGTGTTGTCCAAGCTTTGATGTCATGATTCAATATTCTTCTCTACTTCAATTTTTTTAACCAGAGAAAATCATTTATTAGAAAACCACTGAACCTTCCCTTAAAAGCTTGATTCTGCAATAAACTGAATGCGACAGAATTAAGAACAATTGTCCCCGTATCCGTCCTACTTCAATTTTCATCTAAATTTTCTTCCAATACTTTTATATATTTAAATATTCAAACTAACTGAAATTTATTTTGGTGTACAATGTGAGGTAGGGATACAAGTTTTGTTGTTTCATTTTGTTTTCCCAAATGGTTAATCAGCTGCCATAATAATTCTTATTGACTAATAACTCTCTTCACTCTTGGTAGTTTTATCAAAGTGCAGATAGGGAGGAGGTATACCGGATTGTTGTTTTAAGATATGTGCATAAATCCATGACATTTCCCTTTAAAAAGTGGATTTTAATTCTCCTCCCCTTGAGTGTCAACTGGACTTAGTAACTTCTAGAGAATGTCTAAGAGTAAGGGGATTGATTAAATTATGGCGCATCCATAAAATAGAACATCATTAAAATAGAACATCCATAAAATAGAACATTAAAAACTATGCTGTGGACATGGACAATAGACTAGTGGTTACCAGAGAGGAAGGGGAAGGGGAAAGGGGGAAGTAAATGGGGTGAAAGGGATCAAATATGAGGTGACATTAAAGAATTAAAAATAATTAATTAAAAAAACTATGCTGTAGGTGAATATTCATAGATGTGGAAACATGTCATGGTAAATTGTCAGAAAAAAAGTAGTATGATGCCATTTTTGTCAATATAAGCACTGATAAATGGATGGACATATAGAAAATGTTAACAGTAGTTGAGGTGATGGGTATTTTTATTGTCTTCATTTTGCCTATGTGTATGTTCTACACATCATCTAGGTAGGTGTCTGTTACCCTGTAAAAAGAAAAAAATGGTAAGAATTATTTTTAATTCAAAACTTAACTGCCTCCCTACAAGACTGGCTGAAATCAAAAGGATTAACAATGCCAAGTGCTGGTGAGGATGTGGAGCAACTGAGACCCTCATTTATGGCTGACAGGAGCGTAAATTGTAACCACCACTTAGGAAAACTTTTGGGAAGTCTTACCAAAGCAGAACGTACAACTGCCCCATGACCCAGCAGTTCCTTTCCTGGGTATGTACCAATAGAAATGAGTGTTTATTATGTCCATACACCAAAGCACAGGTACAAAATCATTATAGCCTTATCAACAGTAGCCCAACACTGGAAAATACCAGTGTTTATCAGCAACAGAATGGGTAAAATTACATCCACAGAATACTACAGAACAGTGAAAAAGAACAAATGACTACAACATGGATGAATTTCACAGATTTAACACTGAGTGAAAAAAGCCTGATACTAAGAAGTACATATTATATTATTCCATTTACATGAAGGTCAAGAACAAGCCAAGTGAACCTATGATGACAGACATCAGAATAGGAGCTACCTTTAGGGATGGATTGATGGTATTCCTTCATGCAACATGAGGAAACCCAGCATGGTGGGAATGTTCTATACCAGCATTTTCCAAATTAAATAAAACTCAAGCTGCATGTGTAATTTAAAATTTCCTACCAGCCATATTTAAAAAGCTAAAAAGAAACAGTTGAAATTACTTTTAATGGTATATTTTCATTTAATGCGATATACCCAAAATATTGTCATTTGGATATTTAATCACTATTTAAAAATTACCAATGATATGTTTCCTTTTTTTCTTTTTTGTACTAAGTTGTCTAGGGTGTAATTGACACTTATAGCACATCTCAGTTCCAACCAGCCACACTGCAATTGCTCAATAGCCACACAGGGCTAGCAGCTACCACACTGAACAGCACAGGACTGAACCTAGATCAGTGGGTGTATACTTCCATAAAATCTCATCAAGCTGTACCTTTAAGATAATATGAAAGTAATTCCTCAGTAAACGAAATTTAGAAAGTCTTTTAAATAAATCTTTTCAAAAGGAGCGTTAGGAGACATATCAAGCAAAGAAAAGAAGGTTGTGGCTCATCAGCTCAGCTGAAAAGTCCTCTGGGGGACCAGAGAACCCTATCTCAACATCACACCTCAAGTCAGCTGATTTTGCCTGTACGACAGAGGCTTAACCCCAGGTGTGGTGGAGCAGAGTGCAATCAGATCTATTAAAAGAACAGAAACTTGGGGAGAACATGCTAATACCAACAGGAGTTTGGAGTGATTCTAAAAGTTGAAACGGCGCCTTCTGTGTCTGGCCCCAGATGAAGAGAATGCAATGGGACTCATGAGGAAGACAGGCAGGTGAGATCCAACCCACTGCCAAGAAGGTCTCCACGGCCATAGCTGAGAGAATCCACTTCCATAAACTTACTGAGCCCCATAATTTAGACCAGTGTTCCAAAGATGGGGTACATATACCTGATGATTTCAGTAATTTACCAGTATATCTTTCTTAGAGAAATATATAAGTCCTTTGCTAATTTTTGAATTTGAGTTGTTTCTTTTTGTTGTTGTTGAGTTGTAGCAAGATGTTTTACATGTATTTATTCCTTTCTTCCCACAATGCCCCTAGAGCCTCCTTTTAATCTCCCAGCCAGGCACAGGTTTGGGCCCTACCTCCTTTGCAGGCATCATTAAGGCAGACCAGACTGACAAATGAAACCTACAACAGTAGCTAGAGACAAGAAATAAACAGATGCAGAAAAGAAGGAGGGGAAGGTCAGCCAAGGGGATAAACAAACAAGCTCCAATCTTCTCAATCCAGTCCATACGAAATTAGGTACAAATCTCAGGGCCTCAAATCCAAATATGAAGTGACTCGTATGAATTCCATCATTGGACTTCACAAGGGGAAGTCCAATGTGGGTCTTTGCACATTCTAGGAGCATCCTCCCTGCCTCCCCCACAGTGGAACAGCAGCAGCCAAGACCAGAAGAAATAAGAAAAAGAACAAGGAGCCTGGAAAGATGTTAGGTCCTGTGCAAGCAGCCTTCTGGAAGCAGAAACGTGTCTGCAGGAAGAAGCAGGAAGACTGAATTCTCTCCCATCACATTCTTCAGAGGTGGAGTCTTAGCAAAATAGTGTAATAAGTTGAGTTGGTGTTAATAAGGCAAGTGCAGCCAAGATGAAAGGTTGTGCAGAGAAGACATGTGAGAGAAAAATCAGGAACCCCCTAAAGAGGGAGCCATCCACGAGACATTTTTTTAAACATACTTCCTCCCCTAATGAACAGTGACCTCAGCCCTGCCCCAGGCTCCTTCCCATGATATTAGAATAAGACTACAGCTCTTCACTAGAAATGAGCTAAATGCAGGTTCATGGGCACCATCTCCAGAGATATGGCCTCAGTGGGCCTGGGGTTCATTGTGACCCAGTTGCTCATGATGCCAACGATGCCAATGGCTGGAGCCCCAACTCTGAGCCCCTCTGGCTACTCTCAGCAGCAGAGAATCCCCTGGGGTGTCCCCCATCTGTGGGACAGCCATCACAGTCTACATTCCCCTTTCTTTCACCAAATCCTCCCAAAATTCCTGAGATTATGAACAGGAAAGTTAGGGGGGGTTACTTATTTACCCCATGACAACAGGATCCTTCCCCTCCCAAAAGAATTTGCTAAGAGATGCTTTTATTTTTTAGACGCTTGCTTTTATATGTTTGTTTGCCACATTAGGAGCGTGTGGGAGAAGTTTGGCAGATGGCATTCAGAGGAGAGGTGGAGAGCATTTTAGAGCCATGGAAAACTGAACATCACAGAGCAATGAAGATAAAATGAGAATTGCAAGCAAAAGTTACAGACAGAATAGGGTTTGATTTACATACTTTTCAAGAACACTCCCATCTGTAACCGTAATAATGACTCATGAGACTCTTGAGCCAGGCCCGATGCTGAGTGCTTTCTTCATTAATTCATTAAAAATATATTTACATATGAACAAGTACATAAATAAACAAGTACAAAAATATAATCAGAGGCCGCATTTACAGATGGTTGCAGGTCAGTCAAGCAGTGTAGCTTTGTGGTTGAACACATGAACTCTAGACAGCCTCAAGTTCAAGTCCTGGCTCTGTCATTCATTAACTGTGTGACCTTAACGAAGAACATCCCTGGGCCTCTGTTCCATTTGTCAAATAAGGAATCATGTACAATCTCACAGGGCTGCTCTACTAATTAAATGAGATAATACACGCAAAGCTCTTTGTACAGTTCCTGCCTGTAGTAAAATGGCTAACGAGTGGTTTTAATGGTTGTTATTCTCATTATTGCCGCCAAAGTAGAGTATGAGTCCTAAAGCAGAGTGAGTTGGATCTTCTGACTTCATATGTCCCCACGAAGATCAAGAGGGATCCAGGGGACAGCTGCCAGGCCAGCAGAGTCACTGAGGTGGTATCCAGAGCTGGGAGCAACCTGCCTCCAACATTCCCATGCTGGATGATTCTCCATGCATAGAGAGCATGTCCTAGAAATTGCAGAGACTTATAAAATAGGTGTGAGGTCACTTTAAGAATGAAATGATGGGAGGATCTGAGATCTTGCTCCTTGCATATGTTGTCAGCTTGGCTCAAACTCATAAAAATTCTCAAAAAAAAAAAAAATGAAATGAGGTTATAAACAAACAGTGCCTGACACACAGCAAATATTCAATCATTATTACAATGATCTATAATTTTGTAAGATATTTGCTTAGTCTCTCTAAAAACATGGCTTCATTAATAATAATTAGAAATAACTGAGCACCACTCCAAGAGCTATCTCCTGCGTCTGGATGCCCAACACTTTCACCTTTTCCTGATGACAGCGGTCCCCTTTCCTTTGGGAAACGTTACCCCTCCATCCCATGACCCTGGCAGGGCTGCCAATTATAGTCCACTATTCCAGCCCAACAGTTTCGTTAAAGCCTAATTACAGAGACCACCAGGATGGAGCCTGCAGTCTGACGGAATCTGATTTCCTGACTTGGTGCGATGAGGTGGGCATTCCAGAGGACCCATGGAAGGAGGGCAGCTCTTTTGTAAATCTGGGGTTCCACATCAATGATTCCAAAGACGGTCTAAGCAAAGCAGGAATCACTTCTGGTCTGGTTGTGCTTTTGGACCTGGGACTGAGAAAAGCAGAGATTAATCAGGGACTGAGTGCTGTCATGAGATGAGGGTGGCTGAAAGGCTGGGCATCTCCAGTGATATAGATGAGAATAGCAAAGCAGGCCTTTTGTCATAGGTCAGGAAGCAGTGGTCACCCAAACAGGGGTCCTCATGACAATTTACAGCTGCTGCATGACTTTGGGAGAAAGTCATTTATGTACATGTTCACATGTTTCCTGTTGGTCCTGAGGCTGGCTTTATCTTCTCTCTCCTCTTAGCTGGCTTTTTCCTTTTGCAGTCCATGCTGACTTTCATTTTCAGTCCCAGACTAGGTTTGGCTCTTTCAGCCCGACTGGGACTTTGTACAAAGACACTCCTCCTCAAGACACTATACTGTTATTTGCTAGAGAATTATCATAATGAGAATTCCAACCTCTGTCACATGACTGTGACAGGAAGGAACCCTCTGGAGCTGTGCAAAGCCCAACCTGCAATTACAGGCAGCATCCTGCCACACATGCCCTGAGCTGGGACAATTAGGCACTGGGAGCTCCACAGGACACTCTCAGGTGGGAGATGGAGGTCAGAGCAGGGTCATAGATGGCACAG